TGAACGGTAGCCAAAAAAGGGAGACACATGTTGAAACATGTTGAAGAGTGCGGGGAAGTTTCATATGCGCTCTCCATTTGATGTGTGGAGCACTATCATTGAGGTGCTTCCAGGCTTCACACTCCAAGGAGCTCCCCCTTCCCCCTCAACTTCCTCACGTAGTTTTTTCATCAGTTCGGTTGTTTTTACATCCCTCACATCGAGAGTTCATTCAGTTGCTAAAATGTTGGTATGATATCATTTTGGTAATCAAAAATCTCGATATTATACCATCTGGTCTTCGGACACTGTATGGGCATACAATTCTTTGAATGATTTGGACAGTTATGATTTAATTGTTGCTTTACTTCGACCGGATTCATTTAAAACTGATGAAAGGCACATCTAATTTCGATTATTTCACCGTTTCTTACCCTAGCGTTGATTTTGCGCCGTTGAGGGGTTCTTTCCTTTGCACTGGTTGTTCATCTCCATTCCCTTCTTTCCTCACGATCAGTATGTTCTGCAGCCACCTCGACTCCAGCAATGTCCTTCTTTATCGTGTCCTACCAGCCATTCATAGCAGGACGCAGAGATAGGGGATCGTATGTTGGTTACGGGTATCGCCCAAACCCTTCATCTAGTCATTAATCTAGTAATCTGGCACTTGGATGATTTCCTTCAGGGGTGACAACTTTTTATATCAAGTCAGCCCAATGCTCATGGATCCTTCAGCAAGAAGACGAGTTTGAATAGAATCTGATCCGTTTTCCCACAGAAGTCCAGTTCAATGCCAGGGAATCGATAGCTACAATGAATATGGGAATCCTGTTATCTTTGCATTGACGAACGAGGTCGAGGACAGCTTTCATCGAACAGGAACCGTATTATAAGGTTTTGACCCCCATTACAACACTTATCAGTGTGAAATGAAAAGACCACTTTATACTCCAAGGAGTGTGAAGCCTGGAAGCTCCTCCATTATCATCATTGCAGAAGCGCTAACACTGAGCAATGGAGCGTGCCGCGTCGAAACGAGGTACCTTTACGTATACCGTTTGAATTTAATAGGGTAACTGCGGCAATTCAACGGTATCTTGCTCGAGCCCAGCTGAACGACGATGTTGTATTGATGAGCGTTTCCAATCACAACATCAAACGCCAGCTTGCACGAAAAGGGCTCTACGGTCGGCAGTGCATACAAACCGCTGCCTTGAATGTTCGAACGGTTCAGTTAGAGATTGCGTCAAAAAGGGCGTGCTTTATCAGATTGATTGTCAGGCGCATAACGCAACATACATACATTGGAGAAACTGGGAGGACCCTAGCAATGCGCGTTAAGGAACACGTTACAGAGAAAAGGCGCGGCAACATAGCATCACCCCTCGGTAAGCATTTGATTAATGATTAAAGAGTACTGCCGAAAAAGAGCACTGCCGAAGCGATCTTGAGTGCAAAATCCCAGCGTATGAAACTGAGATTTCAGTTAGGAAAGTGCTGGAGGCATTCTAGCTTTACACGCGGAATCCCGTAATGAATAATCGCAATGAATCTATCCTCCATGAATGATTTCTTGCCGAAAACGCCACATTGGGAGCTAATAACGTAAACACTAAGACTTTCAGGTCAATAGATGTCATACAAGACCGCACAGAAAGTCTCGGTTACTAACAATAACTGTCTCGGAGTGGTGCTGTTCCGCCTTGCGGTCAAGGACTAGATGATTTCATTCCTCCAGGTGATGTATCGCTGTTTGTTCTCCCTAACGTTCCATCGGAAAAGGCGACAGGTCGAAACGTCAGGCGAGAATAAATATTCCACTTAACAACCTCTTCGGCAGAAGAATCACAATAAAGTCATAAGTGTTAGAAGTATTAGAAGACCCCCGCCCCAAAGTTGAGAATAGGTCAACAATTCAGACGAAGGAAAATCATTAGCGGGCAAATCTCTATGGAGATCGGGGATTAGATCAGAAATTCATAACTGCGTTCGTAAAAGTCCTAGAAGGCGGGGAAAAGCGCTTAGAAAAATTAAGGTCAAATCCTCGAGGTGGGTCATGATTTTGTTCTAGAAAGTCAAGACACCGTAAAAAATGAGCAAATGTGAGGAATAGGTCAACAAATCAGACGAAGTAGACTCATTCGCGGGTAACCAAGCGTTGAGCTCTTCACAAACTCATGCCTCAAGACAGTCTATGGCCAGATTCTCAAGGGTACAGCTCACGTCGAAGGATCTATCTCTGTTTGACGTTCTCCTTATTTGACGGACGCGTTAGTGTACCAAGCCCGAATGTTCAATGATAACCGGTGGCAAAAAACGGGAGAGTATACAGGATCCTCGGAATCTTGGCCTTTTTTGAACCTGTTTTTTCTAGGACTACGACCATGTGTTTGGACGGTTTTTTAGTCGCAGGACTACGACCATGGGTTTGGACGGTTTTTTAGTCGCTGCAAAGCAACTTATATTAGCTGTAGGTGTGTTGCATTGACGAACAAGGTGCTTCATTTTGAATAGTGCGTCAGATAGGGTAGCCTTTACAAAGCCAATGACATGACATTTTCGGGGGTTGTTCGTCGCCATGAGCAATCAGGACCGGTTCCTGAGCTCATATTGCGTCCTAACTCATCGGCTTTTCGACCCGACAACGCCCCAAGTAGGCGACTTTCTATTCTATAGACCGCAGATCGGTACCAATAAGAACCCTTGAAGAATTTCTCTGGCGGGCTGCGCCATCAACTTACGTTTTGATACCTTCTGGAGGTCATCGCCCTTTGGAATCTATCACTCTTTCAAAGCGGCTTACAAAAGAAATAGCGGCAAAAGTAAAATTTGCGACTGGGTGAATGGCAGAAACTTAATGCATAGATGTGCAGCTTAGTCACCTTTTATTCGTCTGGATCGGGCATTACGAGGCCAATTCCGCAATCATTGAGATGTTTGTAGAAGATTACCTTTCTAAGAGCTCATGTCAATACTTCCATCAACGTCAACAAGAAAAGCTCTCAACCATACATTGTGACAATGGTGCAACGTGTCGCATATTGAATCGTTTATATGTTTGCGCATCCATCCATTGTTTGGGATATTGAGCAGTGCGGGTTAAGAGAAAAAAATTAGATAATAATTCCTGAAATTGCTAAATGCTTCCGTCGTTGTTCCAGAGTCTTGAGCGCTCAAGCAAGTGATCTTCTGTAAACATACTCATGATTTTGAACCGATCTCATTACAAAAGAATTGTTCACGGGACGTATAAAAGCGTAGCCAAGATTCATCAAGGCAGCAACTTCCCATGCTTCGTCTCGTTGTATTTGTCAGCATCATCGCTCTTGCGTTGGTGAGTCTCCGAAAGAGTGCTGGAAGCCTTGTAGGGCGGGTATCTGAGGAAAACGTGAGACTGAAATGAAAAGTAGTGTCATGATTTTCACAAGAATTCTATGTATTGTTTAGGCTTGTGCTCAAAAGGCAAACTCAGGCGGCTCAGGCAGCTCAGGCAAAAACAACAACAAAAACAAATGCAATGACAAAAAAACAACTACGGATTCGGATTCGAAGACGACAAAAGGAACTTCGGGTGCAACTACAACTAAAGGAAAACGCGAAGTTGGACAAGCACAAGTCACCTTGGTAACCTATCTGGACTTCGATGCGGAAATGACTTCTTTTTATTTGGAGGCGGTCAGATCAGTGGTGAGTAAACGTATATCTTCAGTGAAGCAAGCGAAATGGCTGCATAATTCTCATTACTCCACAACAGTACTCTTATAGGTGGTGTCTACAGCTTTGTATGCAATGCTAGTTCAGGTGGAGCAGCACGAGAAAAGCTCTGGAATTTTCTACAACCCTGAACTAATCAGTGTCAAAGCGGAGAATGTCGGTGGAAAATTCGCTGTCGTCTATACCATCCTTGGTGTGGATTGCGACGAGGTCAACCCTGCCATTTACTTTGTTAATTTGCACGACAATTAGCGTCAACTTTGTGTGGAGACCAATGTGATTATGACTGCCCAGCGCGCGTGATGATAGGTCGGCCGCGTTCACTTGCTCTGCATGAGCCTGGGGGATGTACTGAGGCAGGTTCAGTAGGTTGTTCACCTTCCCACTGAGCTGCCTTTCATGATGTGGGTTAGGTTTTCTCCAAAGAAGACAATTCTATTAAAGACTCATTTATGTTATCCTGAATTTGCATCTCCCAATTTCAGTCTTGCTGAAGTCAAAAAGTCATTTTTCAGCTGAACCACTTTATTTCCACAGTCGATGGGCTCTCAGCACTCACTGAGCAAATCACCATTACATGCGGAGGCAGAACGACAGTTTTGTAGTTTCCCTTAAGAACGCCTGACTGAATTAAAACGTGCATTGAAGACAGAGCTCAAGATTATACATTCCCAATACACGGACGTGCATAGTTGAAGACACATTCGAACTCTAACAGTTTTTTTTAGTAAAAAAGGCAGTGGAAAATTCTGTAATTTACCCTTCATGGACGAGTTGGTAGAGTTCTTCTAGACAATTCCGTGGTTTTTTGATCTGATCTGCTTGGGTGCTTTACTACCGTACAATAACTAGCAGTGAAGCGTGCTGATGGCGTGGTCGCAGAGTGGTGCCATTACATTCTATCTTTTTCCATCTCCTACAGTGCTTTGAAGTTTATTTGCTCTGCCTTGAAACGCTTTTTCGAATGTCAGAGGGAATATACAGGGTGGGCCAAAATTACGATTACAAATCACATCCCGGAAAACGAATAGAAAGCTAATAAAGCGAACCAAGTTGTTAGGTGAAAGTGTTTATCACCAATTTTTTATCAAAATAGTACATTGAAACTGAAATCTGTTGCTTGCTTCCACACAACCACAGAGACGACGAGGACGGCATTGACGGTAGCACACAGGTAAGGTCATCGAGTTGGTCCCTGCTTTTTGCAATGCAACTTCCAGATTACTTCATTTCTTGTTTGGGCTGACGGGTGCTTTCATTTCAAATAAACAAGAAACTAAATGTTAGTATTACCAATTAAATACATACACAACGTTAAAGGCGGACTTCACTGAGAAATCCATGGAGTTTAGTTTAGGGCTTCAGAATGGTCACTGATCGAAGGTTATGAAGTCGAGG